TGTTGCTGCTACTGTATCAATCCTCATTGGAGGCCTTCCTCTTTTCCACTGACTCTCCACTTTACCAGTCATGATGTCTTCTCCAGGGTCCCTCTTGGTAACATGTCTAAAGTACGTGAGACAAAGTCTTGTTATCTTCACATCTAAGGAGCATTCTGGCTGTAATTCAGGCAGGTCACAGTTCTTTTGGTATTCCTTGCCAACACAATTCAAATGCATCATTCCTTCTCCAGACTTCTTTATTCATGGTCCACTTTTCCATGCATCTGGGGCGACTGCAAATACCTGACTTGAGTCAGGCACACTTTAGTTTTCAAAGTGACATCTTTGCTCTTTAACATTTTAAAGAGGTCTTTTGCAGCAGGTTGGCCCAATGCACTATGTGCTTTGATTTCTTGACAGTTGCTTCCATGAGTATTGATTGTGGATTCAAGTAAAAATGAAGTCCTTGACAACTTTAATATTTTCTCCATTCATCATGGTGTCATTTGAGGGTATTTGTTTTCTTTTCATTGAGGTGTAATACCTACTGAAGGCTGTGGTCTTTGATCTTCATCAGTAAGTAACCACTGTTGTTGTTGTCAGGTGCCATCGAGTCAGAACTGACTCATAGCAACCCCATGCACAGCAGAACGAAACAATGTCCAATCCTGGGCCAACCTCACTACCGCTGCCACACTTGACGCCAACAATGATGCCACCTGGCCAATCCATCTCGTTAGGGGTCTTCCTCTTTTTCTCTGACCCTCCATCTTACCCAGCATGACATCCTTCTCCAGTGACTGTTTCCTCTGGACAATATGTCCAAAGTATGAGAGACGAAGCTTAGCCATCCTGGCCTCCAAGGAGCACTCTGGCTGCACTTCTTCAAAAACAGATCTATTGGTTCTTTTGGCAGTCCATGGCACTTTCAGTATTCTCCTCCAACACCACAACTCAAAAGCGTCAATTCTTCTACGATCTTCCTTATTCACTGTCCAGCTTTCGCATCCATATGAGGCTATTAAAAACACCATGGCCTGGGTCAGGCGCACCTTAGTCCTCAAGCTGACATCTCTGCTCTTCAATATTTTAAAAAAAAGTTCCGGGGCAGCAGATTTGCCCAATGCAATACATTGTCTGAATTCTTGACTGCTGCTTCCGTGAGTGTTGATAGTTGATCCAAGAAGAATGAAGTCCTTGACAACTTCAATCTTTTCTCCATTGATAAGAATGTTGTTTATTGGTCCAGTGGTGAGGGTTTTTGTTTTCTTGACATTGAGATGTAATCTATATCAAAGGCTGTGCTCTTTGATCTTCATAAGTAAATGTTTCAAGTCCTCTTCACTTTCAGCAAGTAACCACTATGCTCCTATATTTCCTGGGAGATACTAGCAATTGTGTTTTGTCGAATCTACCCAACTGGAAGTTTCTGGAAAGTAGAATGGGGAGGTGAGGAGTAGGAAGTTGCTCCAGATCTCCACAGATCATTCAAGGAGAAGGGAGCCACTGCATTTAATGGGTGTTCACGTCTAAAGGCCGGGGAGCTTATGAAGTTCCACGTAATTTTACCTTACTGAGTGGAGATGGTGAGGTTTTGAGGACGTGGCTTCAAGTCCTCATTGCTTTCAGCAAGCAAGGTGGGAGGAGACACACACACACACATTCCTTGTCACTCAGAGCTTTCTCCCCACCACCGCTGCCTGCAAAACCTGTCTGGATCACATCCCCCAGCACGCTGCCTTCACTCACCCCCTTTGACATCAGTTCCCCAACCGAAGGGTTCCTGAAGTTTTTATGGTAACAGAAGAGACCTAGCTGCTTTTTCCAACTAACCTGAGTTGAATGATGAACTGGAAGAATTCTTATTGTCTTTTGGGAATCGTGGTGTGGTGCTATAGAACTGGCACACAAGGTCTATTTGAACTGCCAGTGGTCGGTGGTTCAAATCTTCCAATCACTCTTCAGAAACATGGTGGCTAGGAGTTGGAATTGACTTGGCAGCGCTAAACAACATTGTCTTTTGAATCCCATGCTCCCTGGACACTGGGATATTCTTGAAGGCCCTTTACCATGAAGTCTGCCTCTTATGCTGTTTCTGTTCCAACCATCGCTCCCCATTTATGTCAACTTTCTCATACAGCTCCAAGGCCACATCCTCAAAACCTCACCATCTCCATGCAGTAAAGTAAAATTATGTGGAACTTCAAGGGCCCCCCGGCCTTTAGACGTGAACCCCCATTACATGCAGTGGTTCCCTTCTCCTTGAATGATCTGTGGGTCAGAACTGACTCAATGGCACTTAATAGTCAATATTTAAAAAAAACTACTTTAAATATAGCTACACAAGATTACAACCCATGAATGTGACAAGTTAACCAACCTCCTTGGGGACCACAAACTTTACATTTGTCCTGTTTTAACTCTTAAATCCATCTCCCAGCTCCTTGGGACAAAATTGCCTAAAGTGGAAACCCTGGGTCAAAAGATAGAAGCATTCAAAACAACTGGAAAGGTGTTCCCAGTGTGTGTAGACTAGCAGAGGGGAAAAGGAGCCAGAACTCCTGGGATTCTCTGCCTGGGAAGAACTTTCCCATAATACAGCCTGGCCAAATCTGGTCCATCAGAAGACATACAGATTGTGTCCTTGAAGATGGCTCCCGCTTGTGAGCCAGCGATGGTCTCGGGACATTTTATTGTGATCACAGAAAGAGAAAGGGCCACTTAGAGAGTTACCAGGGTCTCAAGAGCCAACTGAAAGTTTTTCTGGACACAAAGGAAGCAACTTTTTTTCTTCTAAATAGAAGTTCTCTTTAGACCAAGGTCTGGCTGGCTGTCTGGGGCTAGATTTTCTGGCAGAGAATCAAAGCAATCCAAGTCAGAAAAGAAGTCAGCTGTAAACATACCACCCCACGCGCCTCAGCCCTGACAATGGGCATTGGGGCCTACAGAGAACATCTGCCAACTTCTACTTCCTGCCACCCCATGGGGACCATGGCTGCGTCTCTTCTTAGAGACTGAAACACTGGAGGGTAAGGTGTTGTGGGTTTTTTCTTTTTGGGGAGGAAGGGGCTTCATGACAATTAGTCATCATTTCTATAAAACTTTAGAAAGGCCAAAACGTGGGAAAGGTTTGGATACAATCACTAGAATGTCACAAAACAGTATCTTGGTGCACCAAGGGGAGTTGGACAGGGACAGTGCATGCAATTCAAGCAATCCTGAATACCTTCTGCTGAAATGGGATTTTAAACCAGACTTCTGCTCAAGGAAAAATGACTTCAAGGGCCCTTCAGGAACTCGGTGCCTTATGGCAGTGAAGTGGGGCTTGCTGTGTGACCAGACACACACCCTCCCTGTAAGAGAAGATGAAGAAATCAGCCACCCCTGGGCAAGGGCAGGCTGCAGTAACAGGGTGCTCTACTCTACTAGACCCCACCCAACTTCCAAATTTGCCCGAGCCGCGCACACACTTCCTTTGTACTTGCCCTCAGAAGGAAAAAGGCACCTGGCCAGTTCCGCTGAGTCAAGAGAGGGGCAGGCTGTCACCTCTCATGAGGCCAGGGTGTGAAAAAAACACAGACGCCATTCTGTAATCAATGGTTTTTATCTTTGAAAATGGAAGCAGGTGTTTTGACAGAATAAGGAGGGTCGCTCTATGAGAGCCGATCAAGGAGTAGTTCACTGCTTCTCAGGGATAGCACGGCTTAAAAACAAAGACAAAATAAAACACACACACACAACAGGAAACAAGAAAACCCACAATGCTTCAGGCCATGATGTAAGCCTGGCTGGGCGTCCGTTCGTTAAATAAGTCATAGACTACACACACTAGGACCAACGTGACTTTCCTCATCCTTGAGCCACATCCCTATGGTTTGTCACCACCATCAGCAAGTCTATTGACTTCATTCATTCGACATCAGAACCTTTCCAAACCTCTGGAGCCGTCATCACAGAGGTCCTAAGAAACAAGTACAGGTTTGGATGTAAGTCGCTATAAGTATTGTTTTCTTCACATCTCGTTAGCCGCTTCAACATTAAAAACACACACGTATGTGAACACACAACCAATCGCATCAACCGTTCAGATACCCTGAAATTGTGGAGACAGCAATCCCAGGATTGGTTAAGCAGAGGATACCTTTTCTACATGAACATTAACCCCAGCTCTGCTGACAGCCATGCTAACCCACCACAACACCCAACGTGCATTATCCTTCCCTGTACAGACACTTCCGGCCAACCCTGTTCCCCCCACACCAGCACGAGCACATGCAGAAGAGTCCCCCCTTCCTGGTCCCTATGGCACTAGACATTTCTTATTCAACCACTCAGCTTTCCCCAAACAGAGGGTCCTGACACCTTGTTTTTTGGGCAGGCAATATGAGAAAGCTGGAAATGGGGAGGCGTCGCTGAGCCAGGAGTGCAGCAGGTGGCCCTCTGGTCTAGGAGCCTCAGTGGAGATGGCGAGGTGGAGCAGGGCCACTTTGAGCAGTGAGCATAAAGGGACACGTGTTTACACACTACAGCAGTGGCAGAGGTCTGTGCTTGCTCCCAATCTTGCTTCCTTCCAGACCATTCTTCTTAGTCTCAATAGTCTAGCTGAATGTAAACTAGGCCGGAAAGCAGAAAGGCAAAAGAGGACTGCAGGGAGCCCTGATACAGGTTGCTGCACCCCAAGGGGCTTCAGAAAGTTTGTGGAAATATGGAATTAGAAGAACATAGAAGAACAGGGAGCTCTATGGGGTAAGGAGGAGCCACTTCTTCCTCCAGGACAGCCAGGGGACTGCAAGAGGCATGCGGGGAAACAGGGTCACCCTGGGCAAGCCCTACCCCGTCCCAGGTTCCCTAGTTCTGACCCTCCATTCATCACTGTGCTCCAGAGCTGGACAAGAAGGAACACAAACATCACACATGGGTCCCTTTGTCAAGTATGGACCAGAACCTGAAACACAATGTTTAAGTGACAAAGGAAATCGAGTCTACATGTGTAACAAAACCGCAGAAACATGGGCTCATTTGGGTTCAATTATAATCATCTGAAGTACAGAATAACCAAGAAGCAAAATTCCATTCCAATCAACCACCCAATTCCTAAAACAAGAAGAGAAAGGTAAAGAGAGACGCTCCGGACTTTTTGGATCAGAAGACTCGGTGACAGGAAGGGTGGTGCTATGGATCCACGTGATTTGTCAAGTCTTCCTTTTGGACAGTTGTGAGGACAACCACGTTTGTGCTGTGGTGGAGCCAGCACAACTTGGCTGCTGCTCTGATTATTCTCAGAAGAAAGTTTGTACAAAATAATCTCTTCTCTTCATTTCCTTTATAAACACACACAGTGCTGTCCCTTTCGAATTAAGGAAAAAAATCAAATTATACACAAATACTGCGAAGTAGCAAAATACAAAGGGGGGGGGGGCGGAAAAAGAAACTTTTGGTTTTGGCAACATTCAAACAAAGAAAAGAGAAAAGAAAGAAATATAAAAAGCAATGTGGCATTGGTCCCTATTAGTTTTTTTTTTTTAAAAGGTACTTGGGCACGACACTGAATCAGACTTGGTTTGTTTTCTACAATTCAGAACGTCTGGGATTTTTTAAAGTAGCACTTTTGTCTTTTTTAAAAGTTCAACAAGTCACATAACACTTGAAACATCAAAAAAAGCTTTTTTTTTTTTTTGAGGCGGGGAGAAAAAGCTCGGCTTTTGAATCACTTTTTGTTTCTGCAAATTGGGGAGACGAATTGGGCTCTCATTGGAATGTGTCTTTATCGCTGGCTGACAGATCTGAGGTGGGATGCCTCCAATGGCAGTGCCGCCCTGTCCCTCCCAAGGACCACACCAGCAACCAGCTACCAAGCCCACGTCCTTGCTCCCAGGCTTGGAAGGGTGGGGTGGGACCTTCAGGCTGCTATCTTCGCCATCTGCTGTTCTAACTTGGAAATGCGCTCATCTTGATTGCAGATCGTGTCTTTTATAGATTTGATCTCTTTTAAAATCTCATCCAGCTTGGCTTCATTTTGCTAAGAAAACAAACAAAAGTAGGATGTGGGTGTAGTTGGGACAGCACATAACAGTCAATAAACCCATTCAACATAGCTGAGACGTTACCAGGCACACAAGGCAGGATTCTATTCTACAAGTGGCAAATCCTACTGCATCTCAAGAAAAAACAAAAAACAGACCTACGTTCTCCAGGTCATTCGATGGATGCAATCAATTCTGGTCAATCCATGTGAATACCCACAGCAAACAATACCTCACTCTATACTATTTCTGGTCCTGGGCCTGTGCGCTGACCAGAACAGAGACCCATGAGACACAAACGAATCCTTCTAAGCTGCCCTCCATCACGCAACTCCCCCAGGAACCTCATGCCCAGGGCCTTTCTGGGAAGTTAAGCCCTTCGTCCCGCCGGCCCCAATCTACACTGATCCTTGTCTTCCTCACACCTATGGCCCTGCATCTTCTTGATCCTGAAAGTCTCGACCCAATCAGAGTTGGGGAAAGACACTCAAGAGAAACACCAGAGGCTTCTGCAAATGCTCAGAAATACTGGCTGTGCTCACTATTAAAAAAACGGAGCTAAGCAGCCAACCTGGCCACACATTCCTACTGTCACCTGACCCAGGGATTCTTATAAGCAGTTGTGGATTCAATTGTGTCCCCCACAAAGTACATGTCAGCTTGGCTGCACCATGATTCTCAGTGGTCTGGCAGTGAGTGATGTGATACGATAAAGCTCCCAGATCCAGGGAAACACCGATGTTGACACACATGGAGATCTCCCAGGACTGCTGCCTACAGCTGCTGGAAGGAGATAAGGACCTTTCCCCAGAGTCAGGGCTCTGACTTTGGACTTCTTGCCTCCTAAACGGTGTGAGAACAAGTTTCTGGTTGTGAAAGCTGCCTCTTGTGGTATTTTTGTTACAGCAGCACTGGATAATAAGACACAAGCATTTACTGGACAACCAAAGGCTTTCTAGAGGACAAGGCTCACACTCCTGGAATGCTTACCATGCTGGCTGCATCTGTGGTTTTTTTTGGAATGTTGATCAGATCACACTTCTTGTTGGCAGTGGGCTTGCTGTCCAGAATGTTCTTCTTGACCACCTTGAGATCCCTGTTTTTGCCGGGAATGTATCCGTGCTTCAAGGAAATGAGGATTGGTTCTGCGTTCTTCCCCTCAAACCACTCTTCTGTTTCCAAGGCAGCTTCCGGCCCCGCAGTGTCAGGATACAGGTCATCTTGGAAAAGGTCAGACTAGAAGAGATGTGATGGGGAGAACTTAGGTCAGACAAGAAGAGATGTGATGGGGAGAACTTAGGTCAGACTAGAAGAGATGTGATG